CGGCCACATACACACACACACCTTTCTCCCTCACTAGTCCTATACTTTCTTTAGTGCTTTCTGATATAATTCTGATAGTCTGCCTGTATTTAGTGCGCAGTGACGCTGATCAGCTATGACACTGAAGATACTGTAAAAGCCATAAACGTTGATTAAAAGTTTTCTGCCTTGGTTGTTTACGTCACGTGTCAGTTGGACTGTATTGCTTGCAGCACGTGCCCTCGGGAAATGACTGTTGGGAACAGCGATCTTTGCTCTCGTGCGTGCATGCTCTGGGTTAATCATGCAGTTGCACCATTGAACATCATTAATAAAGTCTGAAGTGTTGTTCGTGGCAAAAATGACGATCCTCATGTTGTCCGATTCCAGTTAACCCCATTTCTTGGTCATAGCAAGTGATGTGAACATTTCCTTAAGCTGTTATTTTTTGGACGCCTACATGACCGTTTTGGTATTTGTCAGAAAGTCATGTCAGGGCTTATTGTGGACTCAATTGTTCTCATATATATATGCATATATATATAATTATATGTACATTACTTACATACTAGATCATTATTATACATTGTATGATAATCCAAATGAGTGCTCCATTTGGGCCTTAATTACATGTAGATGGTCAAAGGGGCACCCATTTGTGTGTCTTATTTTAATTTTTCTATTCTCCCCTCACTATGCTGTTTCTATCGTTCTTGCCTTTTCCTTTAACCATTCTTATAACGGTGAACTTTTTTACACTAACAATAGCCGGAAAATAACTAAAATTAAAGCATAGCTGCAAGACAGCGTTGGATTTTTTGGAAAGGGGTTTTTAAGCTTTTATTTAAAAGATAAGATGGACAAAGATAATTTTTTTTGTCCTTTGCAGGGAATTCGTCCTGACATTTTCAGTTTATTCCTCTCCGCCTTGTCTTGTCTTTGAAATAAGCCAACTTTGTCATACCGTGCCCAGTAACTAGTCGGTGTCCGGTCTGGGCACAGGGCGCAGCCCTCTAAGTTATTATTATAGGCGTCACTGATCTTCTCCAGTGGGCAATTCGCCCTTTGCCCGGCTCGGGTTAATGGATGCTCCCTGTCGCCGTTTTCGATAGATACTTTTATCATAGTCACGTGGGCACGAAAATTCGTCCCTGGGGAGCGTTTTAATCAGACAGGAGTCGTACGATCCCAACCTTTTGGTACTCGGGTGCCTCGCCGAATTCAGGAACATGCAGTTAGTGGATCTCGATTAGCGAGTCGCAACGAGTCGGCCTGCTTCCGCGCTGTGTTTTTCTCTTCTCGCCACTTCTCGCCACTTCTCGCACTCTTTTTATTCCTTGCGATGGCATCTGTTTGCCATGTACCGATAGGAATGTGCCGATAAGGCCTGATATCTCTAAAGTTAAAGAAACCATTCCAGAATTAAGAGCCTGAACGGTTTTGTTGGGGTTGAAGTTTAGATCCTTCGATTCTTGAAAAGAACGACTTAAGTCACCATGCGTCAGAGCGTTCATTCCTATAAAGGTCGGATACTTTAATCACGTAAAAATAATTTCGTTAGACTAAAGAGATAGTTCGTAGGCTGGTGATCATATAAACTCATAAACTGTACACCTACTCACACACACTCTGTGGACTTTGCAGCTGCATTTGTATAATTTTGATATACGCTATATTTGTACAATTCACCGTGCTCAAGGAGATGTCAAGGATACTCATATTAAAATTAATTGTAACGATGCAATTTGCTATCGTAGTTTCTCCCCATTTTAAATAATGTGTAATATTTAATAAATTGGTTCTACCAGAGTTCATTATTTGCAAAATTCACTGTGTCTGAGGATGTGAGTCAGTGTGTGTGTGTGTGTGTGTGTGTGTGTGTGTGTGTGTGTGTGTGTG